CATTGGTTTTTGATTTATAGGCCATAGAAGGTGGTGAGTTGGAGGCTATTAAGCCATTGCCTTGGTATCCGAAGAATCTCGCTTGGCATTCTAATTTTTCTCGAAAGCAGATTAGGAAATATAAGACACTCGAGAGGTACCCTTCCTACTTTTCAGTAACATTTGAATGTTTCTTTTTTATTACTATGGTCCTCTGGCAATTTTGTGTATGGTTAAAGAGATTAAGTGTTAACTGTGTTCTTCATTTGGGGTTTCAGGTTTCATGAATTTCTGAAATTAGAAAATGAAGTTGGAAACATAACCAGGCAGGAAGCTGTTAGCATGGTAAGATCGCTTACTATTCTCTTACGCTGTTAACATTGTTTTAATTTTCGTTATTAACATTTATAAAACGTTTATTAATCATGCAGGTACCGCCTCTCTTCCTCGACGTACATCCAGATCATTTTGTACTTGACAGTGAGTTAATTTTCATTTGATATTGGTTTTTGAGACCTAAAAGTCTTCAAAGGACTCAAAGAAGTATGTCTTGCAAAAGAAAGAAATGTCACTGATCATAAGACTATATCCACTGATGGTTACTGATCACTTATCTTCTGTTTTGTGTCTGAGCAGTGTGTGCTGCACCCGGTTCCAAAACATTTCAACTGCTCGAGATTATACATGGAGCATCAGAACCAGGGACACTACCTAATGGAATGGTTTGTATTGCTCTTTTTAATTTACAAACTTTGGTTTTAGGTATATTAATAGTTGATTGTATTTTTTTTTCCTGTAAAAAATAAGGTGGTGGCTAACGATGTTGATTTCCAAAGATCTAACCTTCTTATTCATCAAACAAAGAGAATGTGCACATCAAATTTGATAGTGACTAACCATGAAGGGCAACAGTTTCCCGGTTGCCGCTTGAACAAGTCTCGAGCCTCCGAGAAAGGAATAAGTGAAGATATGCCCATTAATCAACTTTCCTTTGACCGTGTTTTATGCGATGTTCCGTGCAGTGGTGATGGTACTCTGCGCAAGGCTCCAGACATTTGGCGGAAATGGTGTTTTCACCTTTGCCCTGTTCTCTTATTTTTCGGTTTAAGAGACATTTTTTGTTGAAATTCTAATGCTTTTTTTTGGTCTGCACAGGAATTCTGGGATGGGCAATGGACTTCATAGCCTACAAGTTATTCTTGCTATGAGAGGTAAGCTTTTATTATATGTCCGTGAAATCGTTTGTCAGTGACATGCCTGTCCTAAACATGTCTGCTTGGTCTACTCTAGGTTTGTCACTGCTGAAAGTTGGTGGGAAAATGATATACTCAACCTGCTCAATGAACCCAATTGAAGATGAAGCTGTTGTTGCTGAGGTAATAACCTTCTATATGAATCTTCTTACAGGTTGTGTAGCTGTGTAAACACTCTTTGCTTGAATTCAGATTCTAAGGAGGTGTGGAGACTCTGTTGAGCTTTTAGATGTTTCCGATAAGCTTCCTGAACTTATACGAAGACCTGGTCTTAAGACATGGAAGGTTAGTATCTACTACTATTCAACCTTATTGAATAAACCCTATTGTGGGATGATTACTAATGTATTTGCATCGTCTCTGTTGGATCCAGGTGCGTGACAAAGGTGGGTGGTTTACTTCTTACAAAGACGTTCCTCAAAACAGGAGAGGCGGAGTTCTTGTAAGCATGTTCCCTTCTGGGAAAAACCTCACGGACTCAACTCAGACCACTCAGGATAATGAGAATGGTGGTGTAAACGCCACTGAAGATGGATGCAAAGAAACTGATGATACAGTGGTGGATGTAATTCCTGATGAACCAGTTGTTGAAGTCTCTGATCTCCCACTTGAACGATGCATGAGGATAATACCTCATGATCAAAACACTGGAGCCTTTTTCATTGCTGTCCTTCACAAAGTTGCACACCTGCCAGGTATATTTTTTCATTTATATTTAAAGAACATGTTTCCAGAATCATTGATTGATAACCACCTATGGTTCTGTAGAACTTACCGGTATTATTCTCTCAGAATTTCAGGAGAAACCAAATCCGAGAAAACACTCATCTACAAAAAATGCTGAAGAAGCGGTTGTCACAGCCGATGCTGAACCAGTAGAGAGTCCAGTGGAAAAAGTTATAGAAGCAGATGTAAACAGTGAGAAAGATGATAGCTTGGTTGAGCCTGAGAAGAAAAAGACAGAGGAAGAAACCATCACTGAAGAGAAAGATGGCAACAGTGTAAGTCACGCGGGGGATAAGAGAAAAGTACCAATGCAAGGGAAGTGGAAAGGCTTTGACCCTGTTGTCTTCCTCAAGGATGAGACACTGATAGATAGCATCAAGGAGTTTTACGGTATCAGAGATGAATCATTTCCATTGAATGGTCACCTCGTGGCGAGAAACACTGACACAAGCAGCGTGAAGAGGATTTACTACGTTTCTAAATCGGTTAAGGAGGTTCTTCAGCTCAATTTCGCAGTCGGACAGCAGCTTAAGATTGCTTCCGTTGGCCTCAAGATGTTTGTAAGTAACAAAATTTCTCAATATTCAAGAAATCGCTAGGCGGTACTTAAGCATATGAGATTATTGATTAGGCGGGTGTTTAGGTCCAATTTTTAAAACACTGCAAATTCTATTCACTCATTGATGGTCTAAACTTTGTATTATTTTGTAATTATTTGAAACACAGGAGAGACAAACGGCAAAAGAAGGTGGAAGCAAGCCTTGCTCGTTCCGTATATCATCTGAGGGGCTACCTGTGATCCTTCCATACATCACCAAACAAGTTCTCTACTGTTCAATGGCAGACTTCAAACATCTTCTGGAATACAAATCAATCAAGTTCCCAGATTTTGTCAATAAAGAGTTGGGCCAGAAAGCAGTTGACCTTGTTTTGGGATGCTGTGTGGTGATTCTCAGTGACGGTGCGTACTGTTTTGGGTAAAATGGTTAGATGCTTAGTTTATGTATGATGTGTGGGTTAAAAACTGTTTTGGTTGTGTCTCAGGTGAAAAAGCGGTGAAAGTGGATGCATCGACAATAGCTATTAGTTGCTGGAGAGGGAAGAATAGTTTGGGTGTTATGGTCACTTCTGCTGATTGCCAGGAGCTGCTTGAGAGACTTGCCGAGAGAACACCCAAAATCGAAGGTGGTTCGGTTAATGGGAGCAATGGCGATTCCGCCGGTCCTGAAGCTATGGAGACAGCTTAAAAAGCTCTTCTTACAACATCATAACTTAAGATTGTACTCCTTTGTTATGCTTTTTCTGCACTTTTTAAATTCATTTACCTTTAAGCATTACGATAGTATCATATGATGGCTTTTGATTAATGGATGGACACAAAGATGAGATTTTGTTAAAACAATTTCTATATGTTAGTCAATGTTTACATTAATTCAGGAAAACATTTTTTGGCAAAATGTTGATTTTTCTTTTGGTTCCTTTTCAACTGTAATAAAACATCAAATGAAGAGGACTTACAGTTTACTACGACGACACATGGTGCTCTTGGCCCAGAAATAGTAAATCTTCTTTACGGTCACTGATCAAATGTTGTTTGAATCGTCTTTAGTTTTCACTGGATAGATTCTTTTGTTCACTGTGTTGAAGATCTCAGTCATTGGTGGGTTGTATAACACTGAATTCTCTAGGAAACAGGAATGAAAATTGCTGTGTTAAGTGACATTAATCATAGGAAAAAAAATGGCCTATACAGGGATCGAACCTGTGACCTTCGCGTTATTAGCACGACGCTCTAACCAACTGAGCTAATAGGCCATCACGGTTGTAATGTTTTAAATATTCTAATGTTTGAATTAGCCACAGTTACAAACTAGACCACGAGCTTCTTCTCAGAACCAGAAAATGCATGACATAGAAGAGGTAGTTCCTTGATTTTTAGCCAATTATTCTTCTTCACTGTGTTGAAAGAGACAAAGAGTTGTCTACACTAGTAGAATTCAAATCCTTCAAAATCAGGCTTCTTATATTATTAATTATTTATTTGTTTTTATCATTTTCATTACGTGGGTGTTTCCTTCCATATATATTCTTATTTTTGCACTTCTAAAGTTACAATGTTTATTTAGTTTCTTTTTCGTTCAATATATAGACTAAGTGCAACTGCATAGTATAGGCTTACGTACGTGGGTGTTTCCTTCCATATTCTTATTTTTGCACTTCTAAAGTTACAATGTTTCTTATTCGTTCAATATATATGCTTATATTATTTATCTCTGGTCGATCCGCCATTGAAAAAAGGTATCGGACATGAAAAATAAATACTTATGCAAGTTGTGACGGTCGACTAAGCAAGCTGCCTTATTATTTCCCCTTTTCGAAGATCATTAACGTCAAAATTTCTCCTTATAAACTCAAGATGTTGACTTCTTCTCTTCTACGGAAATGTAATGGATTTTTCCGAGAAAGATCTCGGCACGAACAACAACTCGCTGAGATCCATGATGCCGATTAGCTGCTTGTTTGGTTCCGTCCTTGTCCTTTTTGAGATCTGCATGTGTTTGTGGATGAGCAGAGTTTTAAAGTCATACACTTTCTTAACCAAGTCATGACATATATCTATAAGCTTGAGATTCAAGAATCTCAAGAAAAACTAGCAACATATCACATAAGCACACCCTAAGGCGCCTGGCGCTTATAACGATAATTGGCCTATAGATTATTAGTTAGGCGGGTTAGTCGTTGATCATAAACATATTGCACAAATTTATTAACCAGGTCAGGACCATACATGACCTATACATTTTTTTTAGTTTTTATGAAATTGAGTTTTCAACACCTACAAACTTAGAACACGGAAATAAAGTAAAACATAGGGTTTGTCCTAAACAATATATAGGAGCATAACACCACTCTTTTATTTGCATAATTTAGAAAAATCAAAGAAAGAGACTTAGTCTTGATGATACGACCCATTCTTCTTGATTGCTAGTTAGCCCATATAAGCTCATCCCACCTCTTATTCATATTTGGTTTCCTTTGCCTTTATTTTCTGAAACTCTCCCATATCATCCTCTGTATGTCCTCTTCATCAAACGGAGCTCTAATAGATGAGGATGAACCATTAGTTATCCTTTCACTTTCATCGTATAATAAAGCATTTGCTATCTGCTCATCCTTTTGTAACTCTTCCACTCTCCTTTTGTCCACTTGTTCATCTTCCATGTTTAGACTCTCCTGAAGAGCTGAAGCAAGTTGTTCATCCTCCTGATGCTGAAGTTGCTTTCCTTTGCCTTTATCCTTGAAACTCGCCAAAATAACTCGCTGTTCATCTTCATCAAACGAGCGTCTTCCAGTGGAAACGCTACATTTTTCTTGGCCTGTTCGTGAAAGAGACCTTAACTGGTTCAAAAGCTGAATAAGCGGCATGTAAAGCCCAGAGAACTTTGCAAAGTCGTCATTGATTGCTTTTATTTGTTTGGTATACGAATATTTCTTAATTATATTGTATTTCCAGACGTGTGAACACTCGCGAACCATTTCTTGAGCTCTTGAGATCGTTTTGTGGAGAAAAACTAGACTTTTATTGCATGGGTCCAATTTTTCTTGCAACTTATCGATCTCTTCGGTAATAGGGACTAATATCTCCATTGTCGACACCAAATCCTCGAACAAGTGTTCGAAGTCTTTCAGTTTCTTGACCTCTGTAATGAGCAGCACCAATATCATCGAAAATGAACTGAAAGGAATATCCATTATCGACGCCAAATCCTCGAATTAAGTGTGCTTCTAATAGCCCCATATATACAGTATGGGTAACTTAACGTAGAAGGTGCACAATTAACGTAGGCCAACGCTTGAACATAAAAAAAAAAAAACAAGAAAAGCTTCGAAATTTCATGGAAGTCGCATTGTGAAATTTGATCAAGAGATGATCATTTCTAAGAAAATTTGGAAATACATTTTTTATAAACGAGTTGATTGTGACAAATGGTCGTCACACATGGTGATGTCGTTTACTTAAAGTGTCATCGTATGTGAATTCTTGGATTGCTTCTTCAATTTCTGCGAAAAATCTCTTTAAATGTTTCTTGAGGCAAGAATTTGTCACTGTCTTGTTTATTTTACTTAAACAACTCGAGTACTCGACGAAATTCTTTTCGTACTTCTAGGACTGCATGAATCCTAACTGAAACTACAATGATATATAGTTGTGTAAATAATTGTAAATATAAACAAGTTAGTTCATTTTGGGGCTGTTCGTTTCTTCATTCAAATGATCCATTCGAATGGAGATGAGCTTTTTGTTCGTTTAGACACAAAAAGTACAACTCATTCAGATGATCCATTTGAATGATTTTTGGAAATTTAGGCTTAATTTTAAAGTTCATTCAGCTGAACGAATTTGGATCATTTGAATGGAGATGGTTCATTCAAAATGGTATAATGTCTATTATACCCCTGTTGTAATTCACAAATTACAAACTTAAACATAAAATTATTCCGTGACACACGAAAACTGAAAAAACCCACAAAATCTCATTTTCCCGCCAAATCCGAAAAATCTCGTTTTCCCTAAAAAAACCGAATAATCTCGTTTTCCCTAAAAAACCGAAAAATCTCGTTTTCCCGCCAAAATCACAAAATCTCGTTTTCCCAAAAGACCGAAAAATCTCGTTTTCCCGCCAAATCCGAAAATCTCGTTTTCCCGCCAAAATCACAAAATCTCATTTTTCCGCCAAATCCGAAAAATCTCGTTTTCCCGCCAAATCTGAAAAATCTCGTTTTCCCAAAAGACCGAAAAATCTCGTTTTCCCGCCAAATCCGAAAAATCTCGTTTTCCCGCCAAATCTGAAAAATCTCATTTTCTCGCCAAATCCGAAAAAATCTCGTTTTCCCACCAAATCCGAAAATATCGTTTTCCCGCCAAAATCACAAAATCTCGTTTTCCCGCCAAATCCAAAAATCTCGTTTTCTCGCCAAAATCTCAAAATCTCGTTTTCCCGCCAAAATCACAAAATCTCGTTTTCCCTAAAAAACCGAAAAATCTCGTTTTCCCGCCAAATCCAAAAAATCTCGTTTTTCCGCCAAAACAGCAAAAATGCATTTTCCCGCATTGTTGGAGGTTGATTTAGTTTAAATATATTTTAGACTAAATAATATTAATTAGTATAGTTATAATTAATAGCAAACATATGATTAAATCAAAACAAGGGTATATATGTAATTTGTTTATCAAACTCATTTGAATGGAAAAAAAAAAAAAGAAACAAACATGAAATTCATTCAAATGGTTCATTTAGATGACTCATCTAGATGGAAAAACGAACAATCCTTAAAATTTGGATGGATCATTTAGATGGATCACATAGATGGATCAGCTGAATGGAGATTATAAATGGAGAAACGAACGGCCCCTTTATCGAAATAGTGGAACAAAAATCTTCTCACAGGTCTGTTTGTTTCACCATCCAAATGACTCATCTAGATGGAGATGAGAGTTTCGTTTGTTTAGACACTAAAAGTACAAGGGGCTGTTCGTTTCTTCATTCAAATGATCCATTCGAATGGAGATTAGCTTTTTGTTCGTTTAGACACAAAAAGTACAACTCATTCAAATGATCCATTTGAATGATTTTTGGATATTTAGGCTTAATTTTAAAGTTCATTCAGCTGAACGAATTTGGATCATTTGAATGGAGATGGTTCATTCAAAATGGTATAATGTCTATTATACCCCTGTTGTAATTCACAAATTACAAACTTAAACATAAAATTATTCCGTGACACACGAAACTGAAAAAACCCACAAAATCTCGTTTTCCCGCCAAATCCGAAAAATCTCGTTTTTACTTAAAATAACGAAAAATCTCGTTTTCCTGCCAAATCCGAAAAACTCATTTTCCCTAAAAAAGAAAAATCTCGTTTTCCCGCCAAATCCGAAAAATCTCGTTTTCCCTAAAAACCGAAAAATCTCGTTTTCCCGCTAAATCCGAAAAATCTCGTTTTTCCCGCCAAATCCAAAAATCTCATTTTCCCGCCAAAATCACAAAATCTCGTTTTCCCGCCAAAATCACAAAATCTCGTTTTCCCTAAAAATTGAAAAATCTCGTTTTCCCGCCAAATCCGAAAATCTCGTTTTTCCGCCAAAACAGCAAAAATGCATTTTCCCGCATTGTTGGAGGTTGATTTAGTTTAAATATATTTTAGACTAAATAATATTAATTAGTATAGTTATAATTAATAGCAAACATATGATTAAATCAAAACAAGGGTATATATGTAATTTGTTTATCAAACTCATTTGAATGGAAATAAAAAAAAAAGAAACAAACATAAAATTCATTCAAATGGTTCATTTAGATGACTCATCTAGATGGAAAAACGAACAATCCCTAAAATCTGGATGGATCACATAGATGGATCAGCTGAATGGAGATTATAAATGGAGAAACGAACAGCCCCCAACTCATCTAGATGGATCATCCGGATGACTTTGAAATTTTAGGCTTAATTTTGAATTCCATCTGGATGGACCAATTTGAACCATCTGGATGGAGATGGTTCTTCCAAAATTGTAAAATGTCTATTATATTCTTTTATATAATTCATAAATTACAAACCTAAACTTACTATTATTTTGTAACTTACATGACAAAACCACATTTTCTCAAATGACAAAACCGCATTTTTCCACCAAAACCGTAAAAACACGTTTTTCCGCCAAAACTGCAAAAACGCAATTTTCCGCCGAAATCGCAAAAACAGATTTCCTGCCAAAACCGCAAAACCATATTTTTTCCGCCAAAACTGTAAAAACGTCTTTTCCCAGCTAAAACCACAAAATGTGTTTTCCGCCAAAACCGCAAAAACGCATTTTCTTGCCACAACCGTCAAAATACGTTTTCTCGTTAAAACCGCAAAACCCATTTTTTCGAAAACGCGTTTTCCCGCCAAAACCGCAAAACATGTTTTCCTTACCAAAACCGCAAAACCCGTTTTTCCGCCAAAACGCATTTACCCGCAAAAACCGAAAACACGTTTTCCTACCAAGCTTTTCAAAAAATTCCGTTTTCCGCCAAAGCGCATTTTCCCTTAAAAACCGCAAAACACATTTTTCTGTTAAAATCGCAAAAACGCGTTTTTCCACCAAAACACGTTTTTTGCTAAAACCGTAAAAATGCGTTTCCCGCCAAAACCGTAAAATTATGTTTTTCAGCCAAAATCGCAAAAACACATTTTTCCGCAAAAACGCATTTTCCCACAAAAACACTTTTCCGCTAAAATCGCAAAAACGTGTTTGCCCGCTATAACCGCAAAAACGCATCTCCCACCAAAATCGCAAAATGCGTTTTCCCGCCAAAACATATTTTCTCACTAAAACCGCAAAACCCTGTTTTTTCCGCTAAATGCGCAAAAAACACATTTTCGCGTCAAAATTATAAAAGTTAATATATTTAAATTAATATCATACATATGGCTAAATCAAAACAAGAGTATTTTAGTAATTTCTTTACCAAACTCATCTTGATGGAGAAAAAAAACAGAGAAACAAACATGAGTCAATCTCGATGATCCATCTAGATGGACCCTCTGGATGTACAAACAAACAATCTTAAAAATGTGGATGGACCATCTAGATGAATCATGTAGATGTATTAGCTGGATGGAGATGATAGATGGTGAAACAAACAACACCACTATCTTCTTTTTTAATCTCTACAATAGTTTGTTTATAAAAATTCAACATCGTATCCTACCATTTTTAATTTATACTTTTCTTTTTATAATATAATAATTATAAATTAATAATGTTTTTAATTCTAATTAACTTAAAAACTAAAATAATGTAACTTAAAATAAGAAGAATGTTGAATTTTAAAAAGGTTATCATTAGGATCTATTTAACAAAAAAAGGTTAACAACACTAAAGTAGTTAATTATAGGAAAAGTGAAAAATTTTCTGTGTCCAAATGATATGGGAATAGTTTCTATTTATAGATTGTAAAAAGTTATGAATTTTGATAGTAATTTTTATTATTTTAAAATAAAATATTATATAATAAATCATTTTTAGTTATTGGGTGAAAATAAAAATAAAATAAATCTACACAATATTTATATCTAATCAATTTACGCCAAATAGTAAAGTTGGCCCACATAAAATTTCATCAACATGTTGAAACTTTCCACGGATGTTGAATCCAAGTAAATAAACCCAATATTTCAATACGTTGTACACTTATACCAATTTCTCTAAAAAACAAGAAAACAAGAAATTTCTGATTGATCTTTTAATGAAATGGAGTCTGCAACTCGCACGAACTTAAAACATTGAAATATGGAAAGGAGAACATGGTAACAAAGGAAATATGAAAGAAAAACACCCCTCTCTTCAACATATCTTCTTGATTCATTTTGTTTTGAAACTCTCCAAAAGAACTCGCTGTTCGTTTATTTTCAACTCTCTTGCACGCCTTTTCGCCATTTGTTCCTCTCGTTGGGAATTAGATATAGCCACACGCAAAGAAAGATCTTCAGTGTTAACTATACTCTTTTCATCCTCCTGAACTTTCTTTGCTTTGCCTTTATCCTTAAAACTCTCCCAAATAATCCTCTGTTCCTCTTCTAACTTTCTTTTCGCTTTTTCCTCCTGCTGGCGTTGAAGTGAAAGAGATTCTTGAATAACCTCACGCAATGCAGGGTCTTCAGTGTTTAGACTCTTCTCAAGAGCTACAGCAACTAGTTTCTCCTCTTCTAACTTTCTTTTCGCCGCTTGTTCCTCTTGCTGGCGGCAAAGGGAAAAAGATTCTTTAATAGCTGTCTTAAGCTCTTCGGCTTCACGAGATGAAAGCGCTTCAGCTTTACGCGATAAAAGCTCTTTCATAATTAGACTCTCCTTAAGAGCTAAAGAAAGCTGTTCATCCTCCTGAACTTGCTCTCCTTTGCCTTCATTGGAACTAACTCGATGTTGACCTTCAAGTCCACGAGGAGGAGACTCTTGTATTTTTAGGCTTGTTACGGAACTAGCCCGTAAATGGTTCTTATGCTGAATAAACTGCAAGTCAATCTTACAGAACTTGACAAAATCGTCATTTATTTCTTTTATTTTTCTGGTATACGACTTTATCTTGTATATATTGTATAGCCTGACTTCTGAACACTTGCGTACCATTTTTTTGGCTTTTAGCATCAATTTGGTAATAAAATCTAGATCTTTATTACCTGGGTCCAGTCTTCTTTGCAGCAAATCGATTTCTTCAAAAATCGGTACTAGTCTCTCAATGGTCGACACCAATTCCTCGATCAAGGGTTTGAAGTCCTTTACTTTCTTGGCCTCATCAAGCATCAGCTTCGCGATAAGGGTAAATGGAATCAAAGAAACCACCTCCATCACTTCACCTCTTTCTTTCCTTCTTTAGAAAAAGATACAGAACTCGAAATTTTAAGTCAGATGCAAGCAGAAACGTTTGACTCTAATAGTTCTGTATATAGTAAGGAGTCTAAGGACGAAGGGGGATAATTTAACGTAGAATATGACCAAGTAGTGAACCAAAAGAAATAGATATAGAAAATGTAAAGCTTTGTTTAACAGATAATGTATTTGTTATCTCCCTCCCATGTGAAACTCTTTAACACTCATGTTCACTAATAGCTTCTTGCTTCCAAATTTTACGGAAGTATTAGGTTAGTGAGTTTAATGGTTTAAAGTTTTAGACCACCATTAGTAGTAAGCTCTAGCTTAGTCTCTCACTAGTGTTTTAATGAAATTAAATGTAAAAATAAAAAGTGATAGAGCATAAAGAAGATATCTATGCTGCTTGGAAACTCTTTATGATAAATCTATCTTATCAAAACAGTTATCCTGTTGTCAAAAAAAAAAAAAAAAATCAAAACAGTTACCCTTGGACCAAATCTTACTTTGTAACTTTTTAAATTAAATACATAATTCTATTTTATAGTTAAACATACCTTAAATCGTTAATACTCATTTTTGTATATTATAATCCGTGTTTCTAAATAACAATATAATTAATCTTGCGTTCAAACAATATAAAACAGTTACCCTGTTGTCAAAAAAAAAAAAAAAATCAAAACAGTTACCCTTGGACCAAATCTTACTTTTGTAACTTTTTAAATCAAATACATAATTCTATTTTATAGTTAAACATACCTTAAATCGTTAATACTCATTTTTGTATATTGTTATCCATGTTTCTAAAAAACAATATAACTAATCTTGCGTTCAAACAAAATAAAACACTATATCTCTTCTTTTTAATAATTTTTTATTTTTTAACAATATTCTATCCAATTATTGATAATTAAAGAATTAAAAAAAAATTTATAAAAATAAAATAACACTATAATTAATCTTGCGTTCAAACAATATAAAACATTAGATCTCATCTTTTTAATAACATTTTATTTTTTAACAATTTTCTTTCAAATTATTGATAATTAAGTAATTGAAAATTAAATAATTTATAAAAACAAGAACATAAATAGAACTTATTTTTTTCAGGTTTAGTTACTACAAAAATATTTAAATCAATAAAAAATCAATTAATTTAACAGATTATTTTATTTAAATTTATAAATAATGGTTATATCATTTAAAACTAATAAAAATAAATTAATTTAACAGATTATTTTATTTCAATTTTATAAATAATGGTTATATCATTTATATAAGTAACATAGTAATTTATAATAGTCATTAAATTATATATATAAACACTACACTTTGAAAATCAGTAAATTGTATAATAAATAAAAATAACCAAGATAATTATGAAAATATTCAAAATATATATTATCTGAAGAAAAATGCTTAACACAAAATGACAACAAATTTAAACTAATTATAGTATAAACCAAATTATTAGCAAGATAAATTACACAAATCAATTATAAAAATCAATTAAGCTACATAAAATATATGATTAAGATATATTTATAGTTCATAATTATTTTATATCTATCATTTTCTCTATCAAAATTTTGTAAAAAAGTCATAATTTCATAAACTTTTAAAGTAATGAACATCAAAATTTGGATTAAAAGGTGAAAAATTATGAAATCATAACAATTTAATCAAATTGGATTATATATCAGTCATCAATCAGTTCAATTGGTTAGTTTCAGGTTTTAGTGATTTTTACAAATTTAAAATATGAATATTTTTAAAACCTAAGCCGAATTATCAGATCATTAGATTAACAGGTCCGACCGAGAATCTGGGTAGAATTTTCAAAGCACCGATTTAAAAGAAAAAATATTTTAAATACAAGTTTTTTTTGCAAATTAATTCTTAGTTATTAGTGAATTCATCATAATATATCCCTAGCTTGTAAAGCGCGTATCAAGATCTAATTGAGAGATTAATTTACAACGCTCCATCCTCCTATTATTTTACCTTTTTAGTTTAAATTTTAATCAAATATGTAATTAATTTGATTATTATATTTGTTAGAAAGGCATGGCAAGGTATTTACCACTAATCATGCTCTTATACTATTGAACAACAAAACTTAATATACTCTCTCTTTTTTTTCTCGCCACGTTGGTTATTCTAACATTATTCTTATCCCTTAAATAATAATATTTTAGAATTTGATGTAGTTTATATATATTTTTAACCTTAATATTAATTCTCAAAATTCTTTGATTTTATTAATAATTTTAGTTATTTTAATACCTATTGGTTAAAAAATGTAATTATGAAAGATATAAATGAATTTTACTCATTTTTTTAATTTGTGTGATAAAGTGAAAGCACACTATTTGTAAAACAGATAAAAAGTAATATGAAAACCAAATTGTTAAAACCTGTACATATGTTCTAGAATATGGATACTATATAAAAAAACAAAAATTAGTATATTGTATTCTTTCGAGTATTTCAATTTTTTTAAAAGAAGAAAGCAAAATGAATTCCCAAGACTTCTGATTTTGATAATGGAAATACATGGATAAACTTCATCTCCTTATGTTGAACAATTCAAAATTTGAACTTCAAAAACTTGCTTAAAACAAGAACCTTAAAAATGACTCTCTAAAGCTTTATCTAAAAAAAGATTTCTCTAAAACCCACAGAGAAACAAAAACAAATTAATTTTGAGAGTTTTCTAAACTTTAACTTAAATCTAAGAAATTTAGTTAAAATAAAAATTGTGAAAACCCCCACCTTGAAAACTTAATGATAGATCTTCCATCTTCTTGCACTTTAAGCATAAACTCGAAAAGGTTAAACAAAGACCAACACATAGTAACAAAATAGAAAATCGAAAATCGAAACCAGATCCCCCCACCCAATTGACTTTATGAAAACATATCACGTATGATAGTACGGAGGAAGGGGGATAATTTAACGTAGAATATGACCAAGTAGTGAACCAAAAGAAATAGATTAGAAAAAAAAAATTCTTTAAAAATACACGAACTGATTTACATTTGCTAAGAAAATACACGAATTGATTTACAATTGCTAATAAAATACACGAACTATTTTGGATCCCCGTTTAGTACATGAACTGATTTCTATTACCTATTAAATACATAAAATTTTGAAATTGGAAGATTTTACACATCGTTTTTAACGGTGTTAACTATATTTAATGGACTTCTAAACGCTAATTAAACACATATCACATGTTTAAATTATGAAAATAAATTTCCTTAAAAATACACCAACTATTTTAGATCTCCGTTTAATACACATACTAATTTATTTTTTCAATTAAATATACCAACTTTTGAAATTTACAGTGTACACATCAATTTAGGACTATGTTAATGATTTAATCAATGTTAATTTCACTATAATCAATAAGTTTCGTATTATAAGACTGTACATATATTATTTCTACTATGATCAATAAATTTGAATTCCATTTAAATAAATCTACACTATGAAAGCGTAATAGAGAAGAAAAGTAACAATATAATCTAGCTGGATGATTTTTAAAAAACTTTTTCGTCACAGTTCAATCACATATTTAATTTACTACTAACATCTTCTTCAATTTTGCTAAACGTAGTTGACGTCGTCTAAATCATACTAAACATAGTTGGCGTCGGTTAAATCGAGGTGTAAAATGTAAATTTCAAAAGTTGGTGTATTTAATTGAAAACATAAATTAGTCTGTGTATTAAACGGGGATCTAAAATACTTTGTGTATTTTAATAATAAATGAAAATTAGATCGTGTATTTTTAAGGAATTTTATTTTTATAATTTAAACATGTGTTTAATTAAACACTAACGGTGGCGATAGATCCGTTAAATATTGTTAACGCCGTTACAAACTATGTGTAAAATCTTCAAATTTCAAAAATTTATGTATTTAATATGTAGCGAAAATCAATTCATATATTAATTAAAAATCCAAAATAATTCGTGTATTTTATTAGTAAATATAAATCAGTTCATCTATTTTTAAAGAATTTCCCCTATAGAAAATGCAAAAAACAAATAAAGTATTGTTGTCTCCCATGTGAACTCTTTAACACTCATGTTCACTAATTGTTTCTTGCTTCCAAATTTTACGGAAGTGTTACTTTATCGAGTTTAATTCTCTTAAATCTTAGACCATCATAGTGGCAAGCTCGAGCTTTGTCACTCACCAATCTTTCAATGAAATTAAATATAAAAATAAAAAGTGAGAGGCATAAAGAAGATATGTATGTTGCTGGGGGAACTCTTTATGATAATCCCCTATATATTAAAAGAAAAACATTTGAAAAATTGTAACCTCAATTTTGTAATAATTAAAAAGACCTCATGTTTAGGTGTCACTCAATTAGGTAATCAATTACATTCAACTGAAAAATAAGTATGTCCACATACGATTTTTATATGTCGCTAGATACATTTGTTGGTCAAACTATATGATATGATAATATGATATGATATTTATGATAGAAGCATTTATGATTGTTCCGCTAGATATAATTACTATTTTATTTTCTTTCCTTAAATAAAACCGATAAAATTACCATAAATGACTAATATATATATATATATATATATATATATATATATATGACAACTAATGATTCTAATAATAAATATTTGATAACAATTTTATCTCATCCATCATTTTTTATTTAATTTTATATTATTAAAATAAATTAAAAAAAATCAAATTAGCTATAAAATTAAACTTTAGATTTTTTTCGTATATGTTATATTTTGAATATTAAAAAACGAGAATAACTGACTAAAACTATAAAAATTAATATGTTAAACATTGATGATCAATAGTTTAACATTTTTATTATAAAAAGATACACATGATTTTAAAACGATATGAGTAAAAAGTATCATCCAAGAATAAAATATATATATATATATAGATTAAACTATATACCATATAAGATTACATAAATA